GAGGCTCAAGACGATTATGTTTATATCAACTAGGATATGTTGAGAAAGTGTTGGACATGTTTGAGATAAGCAAAACAAAGCCTGTGAGGACTCCATTGGCAAATCATTTTAAACTTTCTTCAAAACAGTGTCCTAAGAAAGATACAGAAATTGAAGACATGGCACAGGTTCCATATGCCAGTATCGTTGGCTGCTTGATGTATGCAATGATATGTACTTGTCCTGATTTGGCTCATGGTGTTAGTCAAGTATGCAAATAAATGGATAAATCTAGAAGGCGACATTGGGAAGCAGTCAAGTGGATTTTTCATGTATCTAAAGGGTACTTTATGACAGGAAATTATTTTTGGCAGTCAGCAGAATGATCCTTCAGTTGTGGGGTACGTTGATTCAGACTATGCAGGTGATTTGTATGACAGAAGGTCTACAACTAGGTATGTGTTTACTCTTGGTGGAAGGCCTATATGTTGGAAATCAACAATTCAGTCTATTGTGGCATTATCTACAACTGAAGCTAAGTACATGGCAGTAGCTGAAGCTGCTAAAGAAATCTTATGGCTTACTAAGCTAGTAAAGGAACTAGGCATTGAGCAAGGTAGAGTTCAGTTGCATTGTGACAGTCAGAGTGCTATTTATCTGGCTAAAAAACAGGTGTACCATGCGAGAACCAAGCACATTAATGTTAGGTATCACAAGATCAGAGAATTGATTGCTTCTGGTGAGATACTGTTGCAGAAGGTTCATACTGATGAAAATGCAGATGATATGTTGACCAAGCCAGTTATTATCAACAAGTTCTTACATTGCATGGACTTTTTGAATGTGTGCAATTGCTAGAGAAACATGGTGGACCAACCCACAGTGGTGCAGGTGTAACTCCCAGGTATCTTTTTTCTCCTAAGAGGTTGGATATTCGCCAAGGTGGAGATTTGTTATAGTATGACTCATATACCATATAGAGACAGACGTTGGAGCGAAGCGGAGCAGAGCAGAAGAATCTGTCCAAATTGGGAAGTTATGTTATGTGGGTTGGGGGTGCCGGGGCAACGCCCCACGGTACAGTACATGGGTAATATTGTAATTACATATTGTACTTTAGGTTTGCTCCCGTGGTTATAAATAGACGTGTTAGTAACCCCATGAGGTATCTCTGATTTCTGTAATCTCTTTTCTGAATATTAAAAGGAATTCACTGCTATGCTCCCGAAGACGTAGGCTTCTTTGTCAAACCTCATTAAATCTTGGTGCTCTTCTGGAATTGTGTAGATTTCTGTTTTTGTTCGCCCTAATTTCTCAACATACTTTTTTAAGTTTGTTTCACTTTCAGATGAAGCACATATAAATTAGACATCAGTTTACATGCAACTTGTTCGAAGTTGAAGAATTATAGTTTATCAAAGTTAATAGTAGAAAACTCCATGAATATGTTTACAGAAGTTGTGTAGTAAGAAACTAATATTTTTCAAAGCTTCAGTTAATCTCCATAAATGATGGCATGAAGGTAGCGCATAAGGAAGTTTTTAGATATAGTCATCAACTATATATATATATATATATATATATATATATATATATATTGAAAATTTAGGCTCTAATTGAGAGATTTTTAAGTTCAGAATAAAAATTTCAATAACAAAATTCTGTTTTAATTTTTGAATAATTTGAAATAGTGAACCACTTTAATAATATGATAGTTTTAAATGGAGGATATCATAAAATTTTAAAAAGAGGCTAGAATAAATAAAAAATTGATGTAATCTTAAAGTTCTAAATAAAGGCCACCAGACAGCTCTAATTTAAGCTATCTTAAAAGCTTATAATGGAGGAAGGGGTGCAAACAAACAACACCAAGCTCAAGATGGCTCGAGCTCGGCTCGTCTGGCAAAATGTGAGCTCGAGCTCGACTCATACTGGTAGCAGCTGGCTCGGAAGCTCGCTGGAGAAGGTATTGGTGGCCAGAGCAGGAGGAGGAGACAGTGGGAGCTCACCAGAAAATGCATCGAAATGACTAGTGATAAGCTAATCGATCTAGCTCATAAGCCAACAAGCCTAGCCAGGATGAGCTCGAGCTCGAGCTTGTGGCTTGATAAGCTCGACCCGTGTACTCGGCTCATTTGCACCCCTAAATGGAGGTTGCAAAATTTTTTAACAATGATTGATTATCAATGATAAAATGTGAACCTTCACTATATAAACCTATGCAAACTTTATGTAAAATACATCTCACTATCACAAGTAAATAAAGAGAAGAATAAGAGAAGATGCAAAGTGAAGAGGCGAAGTTCTCAAAGTAGAGAAGAGAAGTGAGGAGAAGGACAAGCATCACCAAATAATTTTTTCTTTATGTTCTGCCTCATCTTTTCAGCAAGTGGTTATATGCTCTCATTTAATCATTAAGACAAACAAAGGGATATATTTCTTTTTTTACATATGAAGTATAATCTATCTCCATATACCACTCTAAGAGTTTATAAAAAATATTTTTTCTCTACATGATCTTGTTGACATAATTTCTTTATTAAATTTTATTCATTTAAGTTAGTCGAGTTGACAGATAAACTTTATCAAATCACATTAACTATCTCATAGTTTAGATTTTTTGTGTAGTTATTTTTTCATTCTCATTATTGAATCATGATCTGTTTGTGAATCACGCACAAGGAAAAAAATAGTAAGATAGAAGAGAGACAGAGACAAAGAGAGAAGAATGCACCGTAATGAACGATAATTTAAATTGGTGATTAGCCGTTTCATATAAAATGACCCCTCTATTTATAGATGATAGACATATAGTAGGTGTAATTACATACTTGCCCTTACTTTAATTGGGGCGTTACAAAGTGTTTTAGGTATTTTAAAATTATAAGCCTACGAATTGGCAAGGATTGCTTGGTCAAATGAGTTGAGTCAATATAGTCGGTCAACCTTCGACTGACTTTGGGTCGATAAGATTTGGCTTGATCGGCTCAGTTTCACTGACCAACTATTCTACTTTGAATGTTGTCGTCTAATCCTTGGATTATGAATTTTGGCCAGTGGGATGAGGCTAGGCTATGGAGCAGAGGATGAATCACTATAATGTGATAGGTAGCCCATGTCTCGAAAAGAGAGCCCTTCGTGATCTTCTTGGAAATAGTCATTATTTGTCATTAGCCCCTCCCTATAGAATTCTGAAGGAGGAGGGCGTCTATCACATAGTTTGGGATGTTGAGCTTTCCTCTTGAATTAGGGCGTAACAAGAAGTAGGTTTACACCTCTTCTTGATTTGCTTGGCTTCGGCCTTTAGTCAGTATGGCTTACGTTCGACCTCCTTTAGCCTCGGCTCAAAATGGTTGCACTTGGTCAAATAGATTCCTCAATCCTTCGCTAATTTACCCCTTAGTCCTCTCTTGGAGTGCCCTCCTAGTCATTCTCTATTATCCCTTGGCCCCTTTGATCTCCTCGAGATTCATGATGTTAGGTATAACATATATGCCAGATAAGGAACAAATGCTGAAGTGGAGCGGAGCTTCCGAGCGTAGCAGAGCGGAAGCACATGTCTAATTAGGGGAGTTTTGTTATGTGGGTTGGGGGTGCGGGGGCAACGCTTCTGCGGCACGATACATGTTAATTTTGTAATTATATATTGTACTCTAAGAATATATATATATAGTTTGTATTTGTAACCCTAAAAGGGCTATACTCTTTTCAAGAAATCAAAAGAAGCCGCAACTCATTGCTCATGAGAATTGTAGAACCTCGTTAAATCTTTGTGTTCGTTCTAGATTATTCTATTGATTCTTGTGTTTCTTAGCTCTAATTTCTCAACACATGCCAACATGTTTCTGATGTACGCTCATATAAAATTTGCTAAAAAATTGTATCATTATCTTAAAATAAGATTTCCATTTTAAAGGTGATTTTTTTAAATTTTTATTATAAATATAATAAAAATATTTAGAGTATGAAATACGAGTATGAAATACCAAATTATATATTGAAGATTCAACCTATAACACACGAACAGGAATAATAAGACTTCAATAATTGACTTTCAGTAGAAACGTGAAGATCAGTTTTAGTGAATTTTGCTTAAGATCAAATTGTTTTGGATGAAGCTCACGACTTTTGTTTGAAGCATTTAGTTGAAATCCTTAGCGGAATACTGCAACTCTCAAAATCAGTCCAAGCTAAATTAGTTTATAATTGATTTTTAAAAATCTAGTAAAGTGATATTTTTATGCGATTTTACTTGTGTGTTATGAATATAATTATTAAAGTTTAATTATTAGATATATAAATATATCAGAATTGTATGGTATGCATGTGTATGATCATAGTGTTAAACCGCATCAAGCGGTCTTGAAAGGGACACATATCTAAGAGTAAATCACAATGAGTGCCAAAATTATTGGTCGATACGGAGTAGACAATGCAACCAACTGGGCTAGAGAAGGACTACCAAGGAAATAGACAAATGACTAGCTAATCTAGGAGTAAGAGAGACGGAGATTTGACAAATAATCATTCGGTCATGGTAATAGTTATCTTAAAAGTTGTTGGTGGCAGATCTATGATAGAGAAAATTCGCGAGAATGTATAACTTTCATTTACAAGGCTATGAAGTTTTTCACTTTCTCTTCTATTTTTCTCACTTATGCTATATTCCTTCGGAGTTATTCATTGATAAATTTGATATTTGAGTGTGATTCACGGATAAATCTAAATTTAATTATTCAACGCCAAAAAAGTGGCTCAACAATATGTAAAGAGCCTTTGTATTCAACCATCCTGATACTAGTAATAGCTTTTGATGATTAATAATAAAAAAATTATAAGAGCTTTTCATTAAGATTTGTTTGAACAATTTGTCTCATGTGAGAAAAGAATCTGATGGACAGGAAGACACATAAAACTCTCTCCCTCCCTCTCTCTCTCTCTCTCTCTCTTCCCCTCTCTCTCTCTCTCCCTATAAATTAATATATATGGAATAAATAGACCCAACTTTAGTGCAACCTGTGCCATGTGAATTTTGCTTCTCCACTGTTCCATGTTTAGAGCTGAGCCATTTGAAGAAATGAGCAAATATTGAGTTGCTGGTAAGATATGTGAAAAAACGGTAGCCCCAAGTTGAGGCTGGCAACTGTATTGAGTCAGCACCAAGCTCTCTGCCTCTGTATTATACCCAAACGGAAACCCCTTTTCTTCCCATCTGATCTTCCCCTCATTCTTCCTCCCTCTCCGGCCTCCCCCCCTTCCTCCCTCTCCAAGGTGATAAATTTACTCTCTCTCTCTCTCTGTACGCCCGCGCTTCTGAAGAACAACCACCTGTGTTGCGGCTGAGCTTGGCCATGGGAGTCCGGTGTCACCATGGCCGTAACCTCTCTGCAGCCTTAGTTCTGATTTTCTTCGTCACAGCTTTGGGTAAGCCTCTCTTCTATGAGAAAAATGTCACATTTTCATATACTTTTCCCCTATTTTCTTAGCTCCATTGGATGAACATTCCCTTGTCCTTACTTAACCGCAAGGCGGCTCCTTTTTTTCTCCGATGCAGTTTCTTTCCATGTTTTATAAAACCCCTTCAATGCTAAAGCAAAAAAACATCACCTTTCGTTCCACTCTCGACCAAAAACGGCGACCAATCCGGCAAAAACACATGTCCAATATTAAAATGCAGCTTTTACCCACTATTTGTCCAAAGTTTGTGCCTTTTCTAGTATCCCACTATGTTTTACTCATAAGCATAGACTCATCCTCTCTCTCTCTCTCCCTTGTTTTGGAAAACAACCAGGCAGCGCATTGATAGGCTTCTCTCAGGAGAAAGAAGAGCGCAACTTCATAACCCATAAGCAGTTGGAGGACAAGAAGTGGGAGCAAACGGCGGCCGGCCGGCTGCTAATCGGCCCGGGTTCATCTCCCCCGACGTGCCGGTCTAGGTGCGGTCAATGTTTTCCTTGTTGGCCGGTTCACGTGGCGATTCAACCCGGCCGAAGCTTTCCGCTGGAGTACTACCCTGAAGCCTGGCGCTGCAAGTGCGGCAACAAGCTCTTCATGCCCTGATTTGAGATAAAAACAGGGGAAGAACTCTTCCCTTAGTTTTAACTATTCTTGTTTAAAGGCGAGTGATCGAGCAAGGAAAGCGAAGCAGAAGCTCTATTAATCTAACTCTCTTAGATGATATGATGCCTTCTTCCTGTATTTATTCTTATGTATAAATATTTTTATGAAGGAGCTTATTCTCGCTTTCTCTGCTCACTGTCCCTAACTGGGCGCCCTCTGTTTTCTAAGATCATGGTACTCTTCTCTTTTAAAAAACAGGGCATCATTGAACTCCATATTTATTATTTACTTTTATAATTAAGATTTCTGGAGATTTGCAGTATTATTATTATTATTGGCTGCTGTTTTTGATCAATTCTATTATGGGGAGGAAAAACTTATGGTAAGTGTTTACATGTGGATATGAAATTTTGGATATTTAATGTGTAAAATACAGAAGAAAATGTAGTGTGTATGTGTGTAAAGGTCCCTTTTTTTCTTTTATTTTTGTTATAACAAATAATTTTCTTCATTAATATTAATTGGCTCAATCATTTATCTATTATGTAATAGATGTAAGACAGGACTAGGTGATGTCTATATTGAAAATTTAGATTTTTTTAATATATAAATAATAAAATTAGGTTTTTTTTATATGTAATTTAACAATTTTGTCTTTTGGATGTATTTTTTTGTTGGATGTTTGAAATAAATTAAATATTTGATGTTCTTGTTGGCAATGAAAAATAAAGCTTATTTTGTCGTTGGGGAGACCACCCATATTAACACTTCTTTAACACAAAATATATTTTACAAGGAAATTCTAATGGGATATAGTGCAATTCAATAGTTCCTTAGATCCCATATATTTAAAAAAGCAGTGCCCTCATTACTAGCATTATGATTTATAACATTTACATTGATAAATGTGATATGGTTCATAATTAAGGCTCTAATTGTTTCACTCTTTTGATGAGCAATCTAAGATAGAATTTATGATAGTCCAATTTTGTTTTTTCTCTCTCTCCTTTTTTTTTTTTCCAAGTACCATAACTTCTTGTAGTATTTTGAATTCTTCTACAAAACCATTCCCTTGTTTATAACTTCAAATTTTCATTAATTCTAAGTTCTATATTCATGATATATTTTCTTCTCTATTGCATGTCACACAATTCATATGTACCATTAAAATCTTTAATATTGCATTAAAAATTACTATCATTATCTTTTTAACAGTAAAATTGTACGTCAGAAATGCATGAACATGAATCTCAAGGAGATCCAATGGACTAAAAGAAAGAAAAGTATGATAGGAGGACCCACAAACAAAAGACAAGAGTCCCATGACTTGAAGTTAAAAGGATCCAATTGAACAAGTGCGGATTTCTTAGATCGGGACTTATGTTGACCGGATATTGGCAGTCTTAACCAAAGACTAAGATATATCAAGACAGTGGAAGGCCTAAACCCAAATCTCGCCCCAACACTGCCAGTCATCTCATAAAAAACCCTCGATAGTCTTCATCAGGAGGCTGAGGGTCTTACCACGATATACTTCTTGAGAAAAATGAATGACCTTTTTTCAGAGGGGAGCTACATATCAGATTATAATGATTCACTCTCTTCCCGACAGCTTAATCTCATCCTGACAACAAGAGCTCTTCATCTAGGGGTTGATAGCCAACAGTTGGACCAGAGTAACCAACTGACAGAACCAAGTAGCCAACTAACAACCTAGCTCAGCATAGTCGGACGAATGAGTCTTATCTACCCAAGGCTCATTGATCTCTACCGAGCGATAGAGTAGCCGAACCATAGGGTTGTTTATGTCAACACCTAAAAAGCTTTGTAATGCCCTTATAAAAGCAGAGACAAACATGCAATTATAAACTGTACTCCCTCTCATATAAATAGGAGGATCATTTATTTAATAAAGGCTAATCTGTTGTTCAATTACCACGCACTCACACACTTCTCTCTCTCTCTCTCTGCCTCCCTCCCTCCCTCTCCTGTTTTATGCCAAATTATTTAGTTTAAACAATATAATTTAAATGAAACAAAGAGTGATAAGGCAAGAAAAGAAACAGCAGATAGTACGAGTTCTCCACTGACGAAAGAAAGTGTGAATGCTTTGTGAATTCATTGATTCCTTTTTTATGCTGAAAATTTGGATCTGAAAACTTATGGTGGAAGTTTCAGTCTGTTGAACGAGTATCTGCGACGCATTCTTTCATGTTTATTTTCTCTTTTTTCTTTTCAGTTCTGTGAAAATATTAATTTGTTTCGTTCTTTAATAGTCTTTGTTGACAGTTGGTTTATATTCGGCATGTCTCTGACTTTAAGACATGGCGCTTAAATTTTTGTTTTTGACTTTTTCTCCCAGACAGTGAAGCTCTCAATCAATGCTCCAATTCTTTGTTTTTAAGACATAAACATGAAAAAGTTCATGAGGTCTACTATAAAAGATAGAAATTACAAGTGAAAAAATCTCAGTTTTGTTTGCCTATTATTTTCCTTTAAATTTTAAATATTATTATTTTTTTAATTTCTGAAGTTTTCATAAATAAAAATTTATTTTTTATAGTTAGATATGTTAAAATATGATGGATATAAAAAATATTATTATTCTTATTTGTTAGAAAATATTTATAGAGTAATGTGTCAAAATAATCTCAAAAGATTTACATAGGGTCGTATTAGTTTCATAATCCATGCATGTGTCAAAATAGTTTTTGAACATTTTAAAATTAAAGTTTAATAATACTTCGTAGGAATTATTTTGACACTTCTATAAACTCTGAGACTAAAATGAGCCTATATAAATAATCGATGATTATTTTGACACTTTACTCAATATTTATAAGAGTAACTTCATCACATTTATGAAACGCTGCTGCTGCATAAGAGGATTTAAGAAATCTCATGATTGAATTATTTTATTATTTAATTCTTAAATATAAATTAATTCTACAAACTTTTTAATTGCAGATTGAAGGATTTAAGGAATGTAAAATTATATTTTAGTAAACTCATTTGAAATAAATGTCTTAAATGCATTCTTAATAAATTATGATAAATCATAACTTTGAACAAAAACTAATCAAATTTTTTTTAAAAAAATTTAAGATTTATTTTTGGTTGAATTTAAAATCCCTTTAAGATGGATTCTAAAGAAGAAAGGGAAACAGAGAAGCTGGAGCTAAGCGAAAAGGAAAGAGAACTAACTAAGAATTTTCTACAAAAAACACCTTATTTATACTGTTTAATAACATGAAAGTGAAGTAAGCCAATCCTAGGGAGAAATTGGAACCGATGTCGATAGAGGAGTCCTGGGCCAGGCATGAAGGGAGAAGGTTGGATCGTCAGCTTGTGTGTGATCTTCTGATGTTGAGCGATCGGGACAACTTTTGTGAAAATGTCAGGTGTTTAGATCGGTGAACATAATGCGGTGTAAGGTGATATGACCTAGCTTTCGATGGTCATGTATGAAGTGATAGTCCACTTCTATGTGCTCGGTTCATGCAAGAGCGATCGCTGAAGTGCTGTCGTTGTAGATGATGGTAGGAGTTGTGGTGTTGATATGGTCCTGTAGGAGACGACGAAGCCAGAGAAGTTCTGTGATTGTGGTGGCAATGGCTCTTTATTCAGCTTCCGTAGAATATTTTGCAATGGTAGGTTGTTCTTTAGTTGACCAGGAAATGAAAATGTCGCCATGGTATATGTAGAAGCCTATTAATGATTTGTGATAATCACTCGAACACGTGGCCCGAGGAGACTTAGAACTGACTTGCCCGAGGAGACTTAGAACTGACTTTACAGAAGTCAACCAAAGAGTCTTGACCACTGACACACACACAATATATATATTAAAATATGCATTATCATCATTTATTAATATATTAAAAATGAATCCTCATAAAGTAATAGGGAAAATAACTTATTAATATTTTTAAAAATACTACATAAGTTAAGATTTCAAATTTCTTTGCTAATTGATACACCATCACAAATTTCATCATCCAATATGAAACTCGAGGTATAACATAAATATCGATATAACTTTTTGAGAAATAAATGTTCAAACTTTGATTAAGTCATCTAGAACTCAAATTTCAGTAAATATAAAATCAACTGATCCACTCGATGAGGCGGACTCAAAAATACCAAAATTGATCACATTTGAGACAAATCAAGCCCATATCAAGTTGTTCAATAATTTTTAGAAGCTTTCTGTGCATAATTGGAACTTCAAAGCAAAATTGAAAGTTCAAACGAATGTTGAATCTGTCGAACTTATAGTAAATTGAGCTTCTCGACAACACAAATAGAATGAGAGAAAGATTATTCAATTTGGATGTCATCAAAGAAGTTTAATGTCCACCGAACATTATCGGATCAAAGGAATCTCTTTGGGTCGTCCGATCAGAATGATCTGAATTTCTTCCTTATTTGTAATACGAATTTTATAAATAGATTCATACCCCCTCTTGAGAAGGGGACTTGGCCCTGGGACAGTGAAAAACTAAAGCTTGGAGAAGAGAGATTAAAGTTTGTTTCTACATCAATGATCCGACGAACACTTCCAGCTACTGCAGCCTCAGAGCACCGACCACCATTGGTCGTCACCCGCTACTTACTTTGAAAGATCATGACAAGCAACAACCGCCACCACAAAATTATGTATCAACCAATGAAGCACTGTATCATCCCGAAAGTTAGGCCTGTTAAAAATTATAATAGGAAATAATTTATTCCTATAAGAAGTTATGAAGAATAAATTATTTCCTTAATATAAGTAGATATTTTCTTTCCTAATTTATATTTATTTCTTTGGATTAAAAATCATCCGTTTCCCTATTTTATGTTATTTCCTATATCTCTTAATAATTAATATGAATTAATTATTGGAGATATCATGTGATATATCTTTCCTTTCATATCGTTTCCTTTTTATTATTTTTCATATTACAGAATTCTTGTAAGAGTTATTTATTCCCCTGTTCATATCAATGAAACAATATTGAGTATTCCACAACATTATTCTGAGTTTTAACATGGTATCAGAGAAAAGTTTTATACTCTAGCCACCGACCCTCTTTTGAGAGTTATTGGACTCCCTTCCTGCCATCCTCTGTGTAGGAAGGGAGGGATACTCATCTTGATATTTGGAATGACGATTTTTTCTTCTTCTCCAAATCCTTAATTCCTCGCCTCCTCATTAGGTTACAGAAGCCATGGAAATAATCACAAAGATGTGCTCCTGTGAGTTCGAACCATCTTCGGGTCTGCGCATCAGCGTCAACCTC